TAAACCACGGACACCAGAGGTCCTGAGGTACTGTATCTAGCCTTACATAATACTAACAGTTTAGTCATTTGATTTATTAGAGGGGCATTGGATAGGATAACTATGTTGTGTTATTCACCATCTAAATCTTAATGAAAGTAAAATAATGCGACACTTTAATTTTTAATGATGAAAGATAATAAACAAATACATGACATCGAAGGTCATATAGGTAAGCTAAACGGTTAGGAATGAGTTAATGACTGTGGCAAAGTTACAGGTTGAACAATACTAGAGGGTTATATGATAGTATAAAGGGTTCAGGGGGAGAGCTATTGGGATATTAATATAGGTCGTCATATGACAACACTAGACATGGGCGGGGCTAGCAAGATGCCAACACAGAAAGAAGCTCTCAATTCCTGATTGGCCAAAATTAAGGTAACGATAGTTTTTTTCCTTTTTCTGTCTGTACATGTGTGCTTACGATCATTCTTAAATATTTTCTGAAATCATGCGCATGGCAAGTCGTAGTTTCCAAAGTATTGTTGTGCATCTAAACAGACCTTTTATATTTATTTGCACCATATCCTATTTTTTCTTTATATACAAAGCAAGCAAGCAATTATCTACATTTTTTTTTCCCACGTCAGGATCACCACCTTCCACTCTTTTCTGTTTCTCGCGTCTGCTTCGTTTCCCTGTATTACTTTGTCTTCATTGATGCAAAGCAATCATGCTACACAATATTTTCTTGGTACAGTCAAAGACTTTATACCTTCAGTAAGCAGTTACTCAAAATACTTTTCATTGTGGCAATAAACAACAAAACTCTCATCATGTTAATAAACTTGAGTGTCATTAGAGCAACTACAAACCACAAAATATCAGGGTCTAAGCCTAGTTAATGATTAATGATTAAAAGAAAAGTAAAAGGTGTTATGTTGAAAAGGGGAATTGAGGGGTGTTGTTGATTAAATGTGCTACACATCAGAAGTCGTGTAGCATTTCAGGCAGGTAGGGATTACCTAGGGTAATTACATCAAAGCTGTTAATGGAAGAAGTGTGGGATTCTCCAAGGGTGTGCATAGGGTAAGGTAGGGATTAGCAAAAGGAGAAAGGAGATCATAGTTTCAGGGTTGGAATAAGAAAAACCTTATCCGTGTGCTTCCTGTCTAGCTTTACAAAGTGAGACTAATATTGAATTAGAGAATTGCCACCTCAGTCTCAAACTAGTAGGTAGGGCAACCCCTATAAAATACAGCCATCACTATTGGTACAAGGCCGTGATTGCGCAGAGCAGTTTGATCGATCTTGACCAGTTTGGGCACATGGAGGGCATTTGGCTGTAGAGCAGCAGTGTTTGGCAAGGTTGGCCTAGACATAAGTCATGTCTACATGAAATAATCTTTGCATCATAGTCCAAGAGGCAGGCTAGTCTTCTCCACAATCTGACCAATCCTTATCAGAGATAGGGCAGTTCATTGGGGGAGATGGAGAGAGCTTCAGTACAAGTATTGAAGGAGGGATGAGGCTGGGCAGGAATGCGAGTGAAGTCAGTCAGGGCAGATAATGCTTTAGCTTGGGTTTCGGATGTAACCGTGACAAGGCGGAAATTATCAGGGAAAGAAAATTTACCTACTAGATTTTGGTGGCATTGCTGGAAGAGGACAGTGTTGTCACAGTAAGGGGCTGTAGAGGGGATCACGAAAAATCGATTCCATTTGGCTGCGCTAAACAGAGTATATATTAAAAAGGTTTGTACACATGGGGGTAGTAGAAGGGCGGGGACATGTGGAAGAGGGAGTAGTGTTGATAGAGGTAGTACTACGGAGAAGTAGCCAATAAAACTGCAGAGTAATACTAAGGGAGGTGGGGGTAGTAGATGAAGAAAGCTGTGGGTATGGAGGTGGTGAAGTAGAGGATGGTGTGAAGGGTGGAATGTCTTCTGGAGGTTGAGTAATAACTTGGAAAGATGATTTGGACTGGACTAAGGTGACAGTACTCAATCGGGATAGGGTAATAGCAGCAGTGTTTAGAGTCATGGTCAAAGGAGAGCCTGGAGTCGGGGAATCGGGAGAATTTAAATCTGTGGGGCTAGTTGATAAAGGGGCAAACCTCAATGTCCCTAATAAGGATGCAAAATCGTCATTAGTGGCCATAGTAAACCTATAGTATGTTGGAGAGACAACCTAACATGGGGATACCTACTCGTTTCCCCCAGACCGTTCATAACTGGCATAAAGTCAATCTTTCCTTTCAACACGGCTCTTACAACTTGGGAAGTGGATAGCAGAAGGGGTTGGAGAAGAAAATTCGGAAAAGGGAAGAAGAAACCATGCAAAATTGGTCAAATCGAGGGCTGAGACCCAGGGTAGGGGTGATCCTAGCACTGGGTCCCAGTCTCCGTCTTCTATGCCCACCTTCGGCAACAACGGGCGTGGGATTGGGGGGGGGGGGGGAGCAAATCCTGGAGAAGATTCAGTTACTGAATAAAATATTTTATTAGATTCTGAAATGG